AAAAGAACTGACGAAATTCAGGAACGATTTGAGAGGAAATTTGAGTCCCCAATGACGGTTCCAGGAAAGACTTAAAGGAAGAAATACTAAATATTTTTACAATATTCAGTATTGGAGCTATTAAAAGTTACAGGAAAGATATAGGAGGTCCGACACAGGTGGAAGAAAGATTGTATAATCACAATGACGCATTTGATCTGTGAAAATGGCGTAGCATTTATCGCTTGACTTTGACAATTCTACTGAGATGGACGATATTTCCGTCGCAATGGCTTTACGACGATGAATTTTGAAAGGAGATGTTTACTGCTTATAAATTTTTCGCCGAAGTACTGGATAGAAGCACTTTTTATGCATGAATACACAGTTGATGAAATACACCCCGAAGATAACGTGACATTAATATTGTCAGTCTAGATATGGCTGGGTTTCGCACACAGTATACTCGACTGAATTCAAATTCAGACGATCCTGAAGAGGATTTACCTCCACAGGGTTTTGATATTGGTGCCCGTGGATTTGAGGAAGTTGAGAAAGGTGATTGAAATGCATGTAATTTGGAGTGTATAATCTAATTACCAGCAGTACGTTATTCAATGTTTACATATTTGTGTAAAGACTGTTGGGTTTTTAGGCGGGAACATGTCTTTGTCCACACAAGCGTTTGAATAAAGCGTAAAATCGAACCAGTGTTAATTTAAGTGCCCATATAAAAGTAAAAAAATCCTGCACAGGGTGTTTGAACTAATTTACCATGAATTAAAATAGAGAACCAACAAGCACGAATAGATTTTGTGTGTCTATCTTGCACTTGAGTACAAACCAACTTCGCTCTTTTGGACTGACTATGTATTGATGTTGCTTACTGTTGCTGTTTGTACATCTTATTCCTTTAGGTCGCTGGAATCACATTGAGAATCTTGATGAGTTCTTCATTCGCATATCCTTTTCACTGTGTTTTTGTTGGTATACAGAGCATTTGTTTGTTAATTACAAAATTCATCCCAGTCAAGGCTGTGAAAGGGAACAAAAATATACTTTATGTACAAGCTCATTGTTTCTGATGTTCCTTTCGCCCATATCATGGTCTTACCTTTCTCAATCAATCAATCAGTGTCATAGCAAGGGATATAAGGGATATGGTTGCCCCAAGTATCAGAGCTCAGGCTCATGTATAAAACACATGTGTGTTGTTGTTATTACAGAATAGGAGAATAGGGAAATGTACCTCCCATAAAAGAATATACTTCCATAGAAAACATTTAAAGAAATAGATTCCATGTGCTTATTTCTATCCATGTCCAGGGGAGGGTGTAGGGGTACTCCCTATGATGGCTTATGAGGTGAGGCTCTGCTTGAAAGGGGTACCTTTCCTAGTTCAGGTATATAAAAGGGTAGGGATTTCACTAGTTGGGGTATATGAAAGGATAGGGAAAACCGTCATTTTGGTTTGTAAACAGTTCGATAAAGAGCTAATAGATGAATTTATGGCTGTCAAAAAGTCAGAAAAACTTCCTGGTTTAGGTATTTTTGTATGTAAAAGGGTAAGGGGTTGGACCTCAAAGCAGAGCCTCTCCGAAAAAACTTTGTTAGTTGTTCCTAGTCTTTAATCCATCAAAGGACTGACTATCAAGGGTTGTTAAATTGATACACAATCTACATGAATAGTGGCCATAGTTATAGTGAGATAGCTGCGTGGGAAATCATCAAAATTAACAAATACGTATTATCCTTAACTGTTCCTCACATATATGAATATCACAGGAATAATGGTTTTGTTTGCATTCTCCTTAATGAAATTTTTGAATTAATGTAAGGAACTCTTCTTGCATGATATTATTCAACTTATATAAAAGGTGCCTTTGATATGTCACAGTTCTATTGATATTTTGGCATTTTTTTTTAGGAATATCAGTCTTTCAAGGCTTTGACTATTTCACTCATAACCATAATATCGGTACTCCTGAATGATGAAAGACCAAGATCTTTCACACAAACTGTTAAAGAAAGAACAAGACTGACCCCTATAGAGTTCTAAAGTGTGACGTCATAAAAAAATAAATTAGTGAAATTATGGGATTTGTCAGGATATTCTGACTGAAAGAACAACATCCAAGAGGCCTACTTGCCAAAAACTAGCATTTCAGGGCAAATTGTCTCTGAGATATTAGCCCAGTTATGCTCCGGTGACTCCATACAAATCCTTCTTAATGTGACTCAGTTCATAACATTAGGAACCGAGTCAAATTTAGAAGGATTTGTATTGGGTCATTGGAGCTTATTGCCCCGAAATGCTAGTTTTTGGCAAGTAGGCCTCTTGTATGTTGTTCTTTCAGAATATCCTGACAAATCCCATTACCGGTTTTTCACAAATTTAATTTTTATGATGTCATCACTTTAGAACTCTATGTATACATATTTTAATTCCCTCTTATGCTGCTTCTTATCCCAACTTTTTTGTATTCATGAGTTAATTCTGGGTAACTGGGTTTTGTGGAGCAGTTAGGAGGGACTTTGCCAAATGTGAATTACGAGAGAGATGGATAGTGAAGGGAAAAAGAAAAGAAGAAAAAATATAAGGCCAATGAATCCAGCCAAGTTCACTGAACTAGCTTGGTTAGTAACGTTTTTGTTATGGGACTCCACCGGAAAGTTTTGTTTCTTGTAAAGTAGCTCAATCTTGCCTTTTAAAAACCTGCTTTTTTTTATCCTTTAAACAGCCAATTCGTATTTGTGGTTCTTTTTACATCGTTCTTGGTTCTATGTGTGGATTATGACAGATTGTTCAACCACAAGTTCCCAACATTCTCCACTGTTGTGCATTTCCACAAAGTGCAGCAGTAAGTTACATTATTTTTGTAAAATCTTTGTTACATTAAATTTAGTAATTTAGAGGTTGCTTTAGATTCAATTGGTTGAAAAAAAAAATCCTCACTTTTCATCCCATCCCCTGAATTACTTATGAACAGCTGCCACTTTTATACTGCTAGAAAATGTAGGTCATGCAATGATACAAAAAGCTGCTACCTACAGTAGGATCCCCCAGGAGGAAAGAGCAACTCCGTCCATTTTTAACATGGTGTGGGTCCATGTTTGACAACAGTGGAGAAAAGGAAGTGTCACATGAAAAGAAGCAATTGTTACCTTGTAGATGAAAGGTTATATGCTGGCATGGACGACAGCTTCCTTCGGGCACAATAGTATTTCTGACTTAAGCTGGGTCAAAGAACTGCAGTATCTACTGGAAGCTGGGGTACCTACTGGCCCCTACTGGGATCACATCCCTGGGATCATTCTTACTTTCAGGCATTTGTAATAATTAGTGCTAATGTTTGTGAGACTTAACAGGGACTGTTACTTTCTTAGCGATTTTTTTGTTTCAATTATTATTCTTTTTTTATCGCATGAAAAATATTAAATTGTTTATCACTAAATTTGTTTCCTCGATTTTTCTTTTTACATTACAGTATGGAGCCTGCTATAGTTGTGTGTCTTGTCATAGCTTTCATTTTTTGGTTGATTCGTTTGGCGAGAATAGTCGTCCATTTCTTTAAACTTATGGAAATACGGGCATTTTACAAAAATGCACTACGAATAACAGAGGTAATCACTGGCATCTCTTCTGTAATTTGAATTATTATGATCATTATTTTTTTTGCATATAGTAGTTTCATGGGAATGCTAGCTACTAGCACTATTGTATGAGGGAACTTTAAAAAATTATGGTTGAACCTCTCCGTAACAGCCACCTTGGGGACAGAAGAAAGTGGCCGTTGTAGACAGGTGGCAAGTGTAGAGAGGTTTAAACAAGAGTCAATGTAAAGGCTGTCCGCCATAAAACGTGGCCATTGTAGAGAGGTGGCTTTGGCTGTCAGTGGATGTTAGACTGTATTGTGGTTTGGCTAGGGTATTGAATGACAGTAAACATTAAAGCGTGGCCAGTCTTAATTTGGTGTCTAACTGATGCTCAGTTTGGGAGTTTTTTTTTTTGAGAAAAAATGATTTTTTCCATCTGGTTTAAAGCTATACTTTAGGGCTGAAATGAAATTGATTAGACACCCTTTTATAATATCCTCGCACATGGCTGTCCTCAAAGTTTTAAGTAGACGGTCTCTCAGGGAAAGTAGTCAGTCATTTATCCCACAAATCCTCCTACATTTGTTACGCTTGATTCATTTTCAAACTAAGAGTAGCTGGCTACGTTTACTGCAGTAGCCAGCTAAACAAACTGGCTGCTGGCTACTAATGACAGATGATGCTGGACACCTTGGATTTCATAAGTTCGGAGTTTCCCCCTCCCTACAGTTTTTCCTAGATCACATCTATGTTAATGTACAATTTGGTAGGTAAAATTTTATGTGACTTAAAAGTGGCCGTGTTTTTCCACTGCAGAGTGAGTTGACCAACCTACAGTGGCAGGATGTTCAGAATCGATTAATAGAGGTGCAAAAGGTCCATCAGATGTGTGTTCACAAGGAAGAATTAACAGAACTTGGTTGGTTTGTTTTTGTGTGTGTGTGCTATTTTGACTACTATATCTTTTTATTGTTTAATTTAGTTGTTCATGTTTTTTAGTTGAATGTATTATTTTTGTTATAATCATAACTATAACAAAATTGTCAAATCTGATTGGCTATCAACTGCCCTGATTTCAGCCTTAATTGGACAGTTTAATAGGACAGTACGCGTCATGCCTAAGTAATTGGACAGACGCGCCATCACGCGTGCGCTTAAATGGCTTTTTTTCACTGCTAGCAAAACAAAGTTTAAGATTTCTTGTGTTTTGATTTGTGAAATAGCAATGTTATAGTCTGTAATACACCCCATAAGTAAAAGTAGTTGTACATGTACATCAGTTAAATAAATTTTAAATTAGAAGTACTAAGAACATGCAGTAGGATACAGTTCTGGATAATTATCAGTCATGTTGATAGTTTTTTTTGGTGTTGTTTCCTAGATATTCATCATCGTATACTAAGGTGGAAGAACTACATGATTGCAATGCAGAACAAGTCAGTTATTTCTGGTTCTTATAGTTTCCCATTTGTGGGTGAAAGGTATGCCATTGAAAATGCATCTTTTCTTGGGCACTTAGCTACATTTGTCAAGACTTTTATTGTACTTGTGAGCTGAAGTTTAGATACAGTATTTCCTTGAATAATAGCTGGGCGCAATCATTATTTTTTTCGCACAGAAGTGGGCAATTATTCGAGGGAGGCGATTATTTCAAATAGTGCTCACTGGAAGTCATGCCCCAAGTATTTTGTTTTATTATCCCATTAAAACAAAATAACTGAACACATATGGTCTTTTTAAGTGTTCCAAATCTGGTTCCTTGATTAATGTTCGATGTCAATATCCTCAGCGTCAGAGCTTAAATTGTCACTGATCAGTCTTGTTGGATCAGACTCTACTTTAACATGGCAGGGAGGGGATAAAAGAAAGAGATGAAGGCAAGAGGGGTCAGGGGGCGATTAATTGAGGGAACCAAAATCACTCAGTTACACCCTTTAATGCAGACAGTGTTGCTGTCTCAGGTTGGTTAGAGTTTAGTTTGAATCCCATTTTAACAAACACAGTTTGCAAGAAGGCTTCTAAAATCTCTTTGTAGGAACATCTTACTACTGTACTCTTAGCAGGGGCAACTTGGTCGTCTGGAATTCCCCCTATAGGGACTGTTGAATAACTGTTATCTTCAATCCTCAAGTGTAAGCAGACAGCCTTGCCTGGACAATACATTTAGTTATGTAAAACAGGATGTTGCCTAAGAACTGTTTACAGCGAATGTGTTACAATACATGCATACAACAGCAATATCTAAATACTTACATAATTATTTCAGATGTAAAAGTGAATGAAATGTTGTGCATTTTTAATCCACAGGGCTTTTGTAACTGAGGGAATGAAGTACAACTTAAAACTGATTCTATTCTGGGGTCCAGGAAGCCCTTTTCAGAACAACTGGAAGTTGAGAGAAGAATATAGGAATCCCGCTAATAGGTGAGTACCTTTATTAGTCAGGGCAAAAAACTTACAACAATAATATTGTAAGTTTTGTGAGCTTATGCATAAAATAATAAGTTATTGTTTTTAGTAGTTTTTGTTGTTGTTTCTTTTGTAGAGTCAGATAGTTAAGGATTGTGGGTTTTTGATGCTCTCTCCTCTGTAGAGGCTCCCACTGGCTATTCCAATAAAAATAGCAATAATATTTAAAAAAAATAGCAAGCGCACAGGGGACAGTGGCCTGCAAAGCAAACAGGGGGATTGCTGGCAATGGGGGGAGAAGGGGGGGAAGGGAAAGGGAAAAAATATAATTCCCCATATCCCTAGCTCCCGTAAGGAAAAAATAAAATGTCTTGTTGTAGATTTAATGATAATAAAAAACTGGCATGTGATGTGTAAGTTGATGGATATACTGGAATGAGCAAAATTGAAATGAGCATAATAATTATAAGGTTTTCAGTTTTGGACATGAACATGATTAAAATGATTAAGATGGGAAGTTTTGTTACATTTAAACCATAAGATTAAAGTTGATTGAAATTGATTACTGTTTCTATCAGAGGCAGATGATGCCACTGATTTTATTTGATTCTGAGAGTTACTCCTGGGGGTGTACTCGAGGTGAGCCACTGAGGGTTTGAAACCCTGAGCCTGTTTAGGATGAACAAAATCCTAAAATACATACCCTGTTTAGGACAACCACCTCAATTTTATTACCATGTTTGTGCAGGCAATACCCTGTTTATAATAAGGACAGACTCGAGCGAATTATATACCCTGTTTAGGTCAAAAACCATACCCTGTACAGCGGCAAATCCCTGTATAAGACATATAGGGGGCTTGCTGTTGTTTATTTATTCACGACCCATTCAATTGCTGAGGTGGCCCCAAATTTGATCCCTTGTTGGCAGGTATCAATTAAGCCTGATATAAATAACATACTTTTTGTGTTCTTGTCATAGATTTGTTTTGGCGAATAGGTGAGTAAGATATTGTCAGTAGTGTATGTATCATGTTTTAACTCGTGCATCGTTTAGTAAAGTTGATGTTTGTCATGATACTAATATTTCACTTTTTTTACAGGCTTTCTCGGCGTATTTTCTGGATTGGAATAGCAAACTTTGTACTTTCCCCTTTTATTCTTCTGTGGGTTATTTTGTACTCCTTCTTTACCTATGCTGAGGTAGGTTTGGCTCATCGTTATAAGTTTTCTTGCATGTTTTTGTTGTTTCTGTATTATTGAATATTTCACGAACAATGTAATGAGTTATTTGTTGACGGCTGTAGGAGGTATGTTAAAGTACGTTTAAAGCACAAATGAAAACCATTCACAGAGATGAGGAACAATTTGCAAAAAATTGATCATTCAAATGTTTTATACCTGTTTATGCGCAGTTGTTTGATCGAGACAAGAGGTGGCGCGAGACAACTTATTATTTGAAACATTTTGCGCTTTGTTAGTTGTCTTACATTTAAGAAGTTACAAGCTCTATGCCTTTAAAATTACAAGTAAATGCGCTTTACTTTAACTTCATTCGGACTGTAATTCTGTTTGTGTTTTATAACTCTTCTCCCACGGGAACCAGTGAACCAGGCAAACGTAAACTTGCTCTTAAAATTTGACGTGAAATGCAAAATCAGTAAGCCTCGCGTAAATTCGACTTTGCACAGTGTTACATTTTAACCCAGCTAAGCAAAGTGGGCAATTAACGGAATATTGTTGCCAAAAATTTATCTTACGCAACTGCCTCCGCAACTTACTAGTTTCGTCACTGTTATTGTAGGTAAATTTAAAAATTTTCTCAGTTCTTTTATCGACAACCTGATATCTGAGAGCTCTGAGTATAAAAATACAGCCGTTAAAACACCAGAAATAATTCAAAAATATCAAAATAAATACTCACATTGTTTTACGAACGTGCTTTCCTTGTCATGTTGAAATACGAACTCGCCTGATGGAAAATGGCGGGATTATTATGATCACGTGGTACTTTCGCAGTTCGCGTTTGGCGCGAACTCTACTTCAGTTCAATCAGTTGCAAGTATTTTTTTCTTTTTTGACCGTTTTTCTCTTTTTTTTCGGCAATTTCGGATAAAATATAATGCATGGTCATCGTATTTTCGTTCTGTTTTATGGTTTGGCTTCTACGAGCTCTAAACTTCACATAATCCATATCTGCGTAAAATCTGTCTCATTTTCCGTACCTTCCCTATAAACATAGGACTGCGTGTATTTTCATAAGAGAAAAATGATTTTAACCTTGTCACATTTCTATCTACTTGTGATCAACTGCAAAACGACCTACCTTGATATTTTAGAAATTCAGTTAGTCTATTTATCATGCAGTTTAAAAGTAACTGAATAAATATGCTGTTTGCATTTTACAGATGGTCAAAAGAGAGCCAGATTCTTTTGGAGCACGCAGATGGTAAGAAAATAAAAACGTTGTGAGTGTAAGCTATATTTTTAAAATGTAGGTTGCGAAGGTGAGAGAAAACGACCCTCAATTTATATGATTTATTTAATTAATTTAAGGTTTTAAGTGTACAGAAAAAACTAAGAAAACATAGGAAAGTAAGCGGGAAAAAAGACAAAGCAAAACGTATTCATAACCCAAACCAGAAAAGAATGAAAAAATTTGGAGAAGGCTGCTAGGAGTATTTACGATATGATTAAAATAGGTAAAGTCATAACCCTGATGGACCTATTTATTAAAATAAGTAAATTCATAACCGTGATGGCCTTATTTACACTGTCCTTTATAGGTCCTCCTACGGCAGACTGTTTTTCCGTCATTTTAATGAACTGGACCACGAACTTCACAGGAGGTAACTACATTATAAACCATACAGATCTGTGATATGAGGCTGTACGTAAAACCAAAATTTGCCGAAACCAAAATTCGGTAAACCAGTTAGGTCTCCGATCACATTTGGAGGCCGGGTAGTGGCGGGGGGGACGTTTTGTACCCCCTACAATGGCCTTTACGGGGAGGCTCCGCTGGAAAGGGGTACATTGTCGAGGGCACGGGTATATGCCAAGGGTAGGAATTTGGGTAGGGAAGTCTGTCATTTCGGTCTTTAAAAGGGAACAAAATGGCTAGCAGATGAATTTTATGGCTGTGAAAAAGTCGAGGAAACGTTCGGTTTTTTTATTTATTCGTATTTGAAGGACAGTGCATTTACAGCAGTTAAAAGGGATGCAAAGTTTTAAACTAGGTGAGGAGCCGATTTATAGTACTGCTAATCGGCCCCAGACTAGGTATGTTAAAGGGGTACCATTTGTCAATAGAAGTTATACAAAAGGATCAGAGCACCTTGTCTACCCAAAATGGTATATAAAAAGGTAAACTGTTGGACGTCGGGGCGGAGCCTATCCTTCTTAAACTTCGTTGAGTACCCGGAGAGACCCAACACTAGCAGACAAGCGCGAGCAAGGACAACTAATTATGGTTTTCCTCTTGTTAGTTGGCAACCTCGTTCCCAGGAAATTTCCGTTCACTTTGAGGTTGGAAGGGATGGAAAAAGTCTTGGTTGATTGGTTGCCGCCGAGTGGCAGCATTCCCCACTTGACAAACAATAGGGACAAAAGGTACAGGCTTTGGGTGCAGTGATTTCTGGAATCGTTTGGGTGGAAAAATGTTAGTTATGATTGGTTGATAGTATTCAAAGCAACCAATAACCAATTAAAAAAAACACTGGTCCACCCAAACGAACCAGGAAGTCGTTGCGCCGAAAGCTTTACCTTACAGTTTCTGGAGTGGGAATTAATGGCACCGCGCGATAGGTTTTTTTGTTTCAAAACCGCTCAATTATATTCGTTAGATTATTTGTGTCGGAAATAGTAAGGTTGGGAATCCATTTGTTAAACTAAAACTCCCGGACGGAATTTTCATGCTTTTTGGAAGCGGAAAGTCATTAAATTTTGTTCGAAAACATATTAAAAAACAGCTACTCCTCTTTGAAATGGGTGACTTACTTTTCAGGCCTTTTATTTTGGTTGGTCGAAACTGGCTCGCTCAGTCAAGATTGAACTCGGGGTGGAGGTTTTTGCGCTTCCCGATTGCGAGAGGACACGCAGGAATTTTGCAATTTCCCTCAGAAAAGATTTCGTTGAATTGAGTTTACCTAACACGTTTTATATGGTCTTTATCGCTGTATTTTTTTAAAATTATTCTTAGTATTATTTTTTGTTTTGCAGATTAAGTAAAGCGTACGAGCCTGCCTCGAAGTACATGAATCTATTTGTCTCCCCTTTTATGGCCATCATTGCCAAGTAAGTGTGTGAATGCAGCCTCCGAAATTTTGGCCTTGCTCCCAAACACCCGCTCTTGACAGTGTGTGTGTTGTTTACGATACGATAAAGCTATAATCGCGGATTACCTTAGTCCTGTTCAGTATAACTATAAAGAACACGTAACCATTTTCGTGCGTGACCTAGCACACGCAAACGTGCGTGTTGTTTAGAATACGATAAAACTAATCCCGGATTACCTTTATCATGATCTGAACATCACGCACCCATGAACGCGAGGGTAGGAAATCAATGTTTACAGAGACGACGCATGGAAGTGCGTGCTTTTCGTTTTGAATACGATTAAGCTTATCTTGGGTAATAGCTTTATCTTATCCATTGAAGAAAAAATACTGGCCGTTCTCCAGGATGAAGAATCCTAACTCTAGTGAACATATCCAGGCACAATTTGCGGTTTATCGACATCTTTTTAAAATTTTATGTAATAAATCAAACATGAGAAACTGAGTCTCAAGAGTGATCAACATGGATTTTGTCAGAACAACATCAATACATAATCAATAGAAAAGGAAATGAGAATTAATGAAATGATCGTGTAAGGAAAAGTGTTTTGATCTTCAAACAATTTCTCTCTTCTAACTCCTCCAGAAAATGTATTGATATAAGTTTGGAGCTTTTGTAATTAGATACTGTGGCTTAAAGGGTTAAACACCGAGAAGAGAGTTGAAAATACGACGCGCAGCGGAGTATTTTGATGTAAAATTGCGAGTGGATTTTGTGCTGGGTCGTTTCCCATAAATATGATTTATGTATACTGTAGTCCCGTGGATTATACACAGCCGCGGTCAGTAAACTGTGCAATAATTTTGTTCTACTACAATTCATGAACACAGCTAATTTCTGTGTTGTTTTCCCATAGAAACCTGGCGTTTTTTGCTGGTGCTCTTTTCGCTGTGTTAACAATCTTCACTCTTCTTGACAAAGATGTTCTGCTAGCGGAACATGTGCTTACTGCTATAGCAATTTTAGGTGTGTAGTCGTAGTGTATTTATATAGGCAAGCTACTGAACGAGGAACTTACGTTCTATTATAGCCTCAGAACGGTACTTTCTTGACGAAACAGAACATGTCCAGAAAATGGAGTTGAAAAAATACCGCTCAAATTCTTTTTAATAATTGTGTTTTATTATTTATTATTATTTATTAATAAATTATACATTTATTTATTGATAATTATTATTTCTGAATCAATTTATTATTATGATAATTATTTAAAATTTGTTATTTTTTTTACTTATTCTTTGTTATAATTAGGCCTCGTTAGTCGTGCAGGCACGATATATGATATTAAGATGTTAAGCACTGTGTGAATAAAACCACTTTCTGAGGCTATGTTCACACTCTAAAGGATAGTTTTTGCCGTGAAAATCATACCGGAAACGGCTTCTGTTCACACACAGAACGGTGATTTCGGCGCGATTTCTGTGACAGAGAGACACTGCGCCGCGGATAGGATCTGTGCCGTACTTTGGTGCAGTATGAATACCGGACCGTCCCGGAAGTGAGTAAGTAGGAGTGAGGACTGGAAACCACCGAAACGGAAGTAAATATTCAGGTCCTCGGCTCCGGCACGATAGGGAGCTTAAGCAACTACGACGAAGACGACGACGACAACGACAACGACAACTTCAAGAAACAATAGATTTAATGATCAAAACAACAGCTCTGCACGTGCATCACACTTTTACCACATTTCTTTGACGTCCACTGCACTGCTACGACGTGAAACCTCCTAATTTGACGTTTCATGGAGGACGTGGACATACGACGACGAATTTTCCTTCCTCTTTTTAAACTTGAATAAAATCCTTAAGAATTCAACTCCAGGAAAAGTCGCCTACATTTGACATATTGAGTGGGTCCAAATAGACGCGATTAAGTTTGAAAGAACGCAAATTCATTTTTTAGCGACATTTTCACTGGCGTCGTCGTCGTCGTTGCTTAAGGTCCCTGATGTTCGATGTGTGTGAACGTCTTGCTCCAGCCCGGGCCGTTGCTGTTCATAACATACCTTACAGCTTTTCGCGGTGGCACAAAAAGCTATCCAGTATAGCGTGAACACAGCCTTAATTAGTGATAAAGAAAATATCTGCAAGTGAAAGCCTAGCCTGCGTAGCAGGCGCTTGGAAGTAGTAGGCGAAAGAGAAAACGGGCGCGCGCGAGGAAGACACGCGTGTCCCCTCGCGTGTCCCCTCGCGCGCCCATTTTTTCTTGTGCCCACCACCTCCAAGCGCCTGCTACGCAGGCTAGTGAAAGCCACCCTGAATACACTGAGGCTGAAACAAACCAGCTGGATCCACTTGGTCTAATGTGAAGTAAACTGGCTTTTAAGTCGGAAGGTATGGTGTTTATTTCACTTTTTCCGGTACTTATAATGGTCTTTTCTCACTGGTTATTATTTTCTTTTACAGGCATAATAATACGTATTTGTTACATATTCATACCTGACGAGGTAGGTGTATTCTCTGAAAGTGTGTAGTGTATTAAATGGGTTGGCCATGTCACGCCATTTTCTATACCTTTTTAAAAAGCTATCCGCGTGTCTTCCTATCAGTTGAATTCCATAAATTAATGGTACAGTTTTGTTATTGCGGGTGTCAAGAGGAGCCCGCAATCCTGATCTCCAGGTCGTTATTACACATGCGTCGCATGTGCCTACCATAGGCTGATTTAGCAACAGAAGGACAGGAGCGTCAGTTGACGACGGAAAAGCGCGCGGAAAGGACTAAACACGACTTCCGGTGCCCAATTTGCCGCTCTGCCATTGGTCAGGCCAGTTGTTTGATTTGCGTGCGCCGTCGTCAACTGACGTCCCCGTTCTTTTGCTAAATCAGCCTTGTGTATCCAGCATTTGTTTGGACTTCCACTACAAGAATGTATGAAATGCACAGAACGTACTTTGATCACGCGCGTTTGGACCTTCTATCACTCGTTATCTGATCACGCGTGTTTTGACCATGTGTCACGTGAAACTTACGCAAAGCACAGCGCTGGACCAAAAGCCAACGTTTGCAAGTTTTGTGGTTTTTATACTTACAACTGGTATTGTATATTTTCTTTCCCAGAACACAGTGTGGGATCCGGAGCAGCTACTGAAGCAGATTGTGTCCCATACACATTACATCCCCGATGAGTGGAAGGGGAAAGCTCATACCAAGGAGGTAGGATGGAGGGGGTAAACAACAAAGGTTTATTCGGGGAGGTTCCGCCCCGAGGTCCAACCTCCTACCGCTCCCTTTTATACACTGTTTTAGGCAGAATTTGTACCCCTTTCGTATATCTTTTACTGAAAAATGGTACCCCTTTCACATGCTTAGTTTTTCGAACACTGCTTCCTTTTAACTGCTGTAAATGTACTGTCTTTTAAGAATGGATAAATTACTAAACCAGGAAGTTTTCATGACTTTTTCACAGCCATAAAATGCATCTGTTAGCCCCTTTGGACCTCTTACACCCCGAAATGAAAGATTTCCCTACCCTTTCATATGCTCATATCCCCACCCTTTTATATACCTGAAGCCTTAAAAAGGTACCCCTTTCGGGCAGAGCCTCCCCCAAAAAGGCCATTACAGAGAGTAGCCCCCCCCCCCTCGGGATATCTCCTTACATAATTTTAAATTATTAAGCTTGTCTTTCTGTGTCCTCGCCATATTTCAATTCCCATGGTTTACGAGCCCTCTTTTTCCTCTAACTGAGATTACTAAGGTATAGGTAGTGGGATGCCAATATACCTGAGGAAACAAGTGTACCCCATAGGCCTTCTACCGCAAAACCCTGCCCGGCGAGACTGCTTTTTAGTGGTTCCTTCATTAATTAAAAGTTCTGCATTTAAAGGTGCATTAACATAATAGTATTCTATTTGTCTATCTCCTTTCAGGTTCGAGAAAAGTTTTCTCAACTATTCCAATACAAAGCGGTAAGTTATTAAAGGGAAGTCACGCAATGTCCCCTTCACACATACAAACCTGTTTTGCGACAAATCACGATGTTGCAGGTTGCGAAAGGCTGTTGTAGAAAGTAGAGAGTAGTTCTACTTTTTGCAACAAAATCATTACATGTTGCGCGTGTTACCGGCCCAAGGCAAACTCTGTTTGCAGCAAGTGACGTAACCTCCGTGTATGGCTCCACTCTCGCGTAATCCTATCCAGTCAAAGGTCAGTATTCACGCAACCTGCAGCAACCTGATTTTTTGCAAGACAGATTTTAACGTGGGTGGTAGAACGCGCCACTCGATTTGCAACAATTCTTCGTTCTTCGAAACAAGTTGTACGTTTTTGTCGCCCGTTTTACCGTAGCTTTAAAAGACGCATCACTGTCGCGTCGTGTTCTAACTTTAACCTGCCGTTTTTATGTACAGGAATACGTGTTACAAGAGCTAGTCAGCCCTGTAATCACCCCATTCCTTCTGTGCTTTAATTTACGCTACAAAGCTCTGGACATAGTGGATTTCTTCCGAAATTTCACTGTCGATGTTGTTGGTGTCGGCGATGTGTGTTCATTCGCGCAGATGGACGTCAAAAGACATGGAAATCCGGAGGTGTGTTAAAATCCCTTTCCTCAATTTTGAGTAAATCAGATTTAAGACTTTTTGGTACTTATCGCGTAAAAAAAGTATGCAACAATTAGTGCCCCTGAGTTGCGAGTAAACAGTGAAAATGAGAGTGATACCAAAAATAAACAATGAAAACGAGAGTGTGATACTGCGTAGTTGTCTACTATCTCTTTTACGGGTCATGAAAATCACTCTAGAATACCTTATTTTGCCTCAGTTACCATTGCTTAGGGGAGTATACAGCGATTTAATTCCAAAAGCCGCTAAAGTTGTTAAATTATACTAACGCTTCTTTAGGTTTTTATTACACTGCGCCAAAAGAGAACTTGACTGCACTGTAAATTTGGCTGGCATATTCAGATGTCTGACTGACGTATATGTAGTATTCGCGTATTCGACTAGTTCCACAATCCTGATGAAGGGATTTGAATAAACAGTCTTTCTGTGCGTTATTTACGTGCCCTTTGCAGTGTTTTAACCTAGCCCTTCAGCTCTTTGCCGAATCGATTGAAAGATAATCTTGAGGGAGACGTTAATCAGATCCATATAGCCAGCGCTAAGGGGAAAATCGCTTGCGAACAAGTCACTATTTTCTTTGGTTTTCATGTTATTGGTTAAGAAATTTAACTTAAAATTTAGAGCACTTTTTAATCATTGAGAATCGTCGAACTTAACCAAAGCAGTTACTCTGTCCAATCACAACAAAGGAGTACGATCTAGTGAAAAATGCTTGTAACGGGCGCTAAGCGCAGAAAAAGTGGCGCTAAATTATGAGTAGTTTGCATTTGTTCTGTTCAATCGAGACAGTGGGGAAGAGCCTTGTGACCAATCAGATGCTTGTTGCCGAAGTAGCTGAAGCTCTGCGCGGGAAAACTGACGGAGAGACGTAATGTTTGGTTTTGGACAATGCCCCGATTGGTTAAAAAATGGCGGAAGTTCCGCGTTTTAGTTTAGCTTTGACACTAAACTAAAAGCCGCCCCAATCCGCAGATTTATCACAGTAAATCGCTTTCTTATTATTCGTAGAATATCTTAAGTAGGCTTGTGGAAGTACTAGTAGAGCTGACATAAAGAGAAGTTTATATAACAAAGGTCGATAGACATAGCTTGTACCGCGTCTTTTGTCTTCTGATCGTCATTTGATTGTTTTTTTTTTTAGTGGCTAAGTGAAGGCTTGACGCAAGCAACACAATACGAGCAAGCTGAGCATGGCAAAACGGAACTTTCGTTAGTTCATTTCTCGGTAAGTACTGCGTTTCTGTTTTCGTTTTGAATTCAGATCGAAATGTCCACCTGTTTCCTTTGTTTACAGATAAAAAATCCCAAGTGGAAGCCGACAGACCAAGGCGCGCAGTTTATTAGTACAATCAAGGAAAATGGTGAGTGTGAAATGGTTAAATACTGCAGTATGTTTAGCCTGTGTCGCAGACGTAGTCAAACCCCGGTTAGTAACGTCTGCAAAGTAGCGCCGATATCCTTGTTCTGGGCCGCCAACGGACTTAACAACTTACCGGAAATGCGTTTTAGATTTCCTTCAACCTCATGGGCAAATCGACAATGGCTTTTTGAAAAGTCCAATCATGGCACGTACTCAAATCGTGATACACAGGTGGCGGCCCAGAATAAGGATTTCGTCGCTGATTTGCAGACGTTACTAATCGGGGTTTAGTTTCGTCTGTTGCGCAGTCTACAAAAAATAAGCAAAGATTAGAGAGTCTACTGTGTGGCACTTTTTAGTTTTTGCGGGTCCTAATTTTTGCAATTGGGACATTTTTTGCGTCCCGCAAAAGTTAACCTCCACGGTCGCAGTTATGTAGTTTTATATACATGAAGTTTTGATGGTAGACTTATGCTTATGCACTATTGTTATTTCAGCGGTTCAAGAAGGCATCAATCTGAGCAATAGCGCTGCATTATCTGAACCGTGCTCCCTTCAAGATTACAGGACAAGTAGTGTAAGTAATGTCAGAAGTCAACCCAGAGGGGTACTCCCTGTGCTGGCCAATACAGGGAGGCTCCGCCCGAATGGGGTACCTTTTTCAGGCTTCATGTATATGAAGGGGAAGGGATTTCACTAGCTGAAGTATAAGTAAAGGGTAGGGAAATCTGTCATTTCAGTCTGTAAAAAGGCCCAAAAGGGCTATTAAATAATAGATGTCTTTTATGGCTGTGAAAAAGGTCGAGAAAACGTATCGGTTTTGTGATTAATTTATATTTAAAAGCCAGTGTATCTACAGCAGTTAAAAGGGAGGCAGCGTTCTACACTAGAATGTGAAAGGGGTACCAGTTGGTTGATCCCATCACAACTAGACGCCAAAAATTGCGTGAGCTCGGGCGTCCGTATGAAAAAAATTGAAATGAGAAAACTTTCTCTGAGAAATCACAATCTTCAAAGGCCGCCATCGTATATCGAAATATCAACAGTCTCTTCGCGTGAACATCTGGAAAAGATGCTTGAGTGACTATAACGTATTAGATTGCAGTAATTGTATATCAGAGGTCATCAACTGAAAACAAAGGAGAATAAAATCAGTGACATCAAAGCAAAGACCAAGGATAACTGCTAATTGAAGTACTCAATTCATTTCCTGTTTCTTCTTCAAGGCAACTAAGCATAAATATGGAGGCATTCCCAGTGTCTTCGGCAAGACTCTTGAGTTGAAGTTTTCGTGTGTAAGAAATAGCAGAATTCATTCTTGTGATCACTGAGTTTTATACACCGAATACAGTTGGCTTTGCTCGCCGTGTCTCGGGCAGCACTGTGCTCTGGTTTAGTCCGCTGACCTATTTAACGCATACTCTTATATCTTGCGCACGCGCTGTATGCACCAGAGGGCGTTGCACCAAAGCCCGAGCCACAAGTCCAATTTGGAGTGGCACGATCGCTTACTACTAACTTCACTGCTATAGGAACGAAATGATAGCCTTGTGAAGCTGTAGAGATAGCTGTCTGACCATTCTTGTGTTGTCCTTAAGTATTTTACTTGCTTTTTTCGTTACTTTTCAGTTTCAAGGCTTGCCTTATATGAACCCCATGAGCCTTAGCGATCCCTCTCTTGCTCCACTGGGAACTGCCGCTGGGACACCCCAACAGCAGGCTCAAGCACGTGAAATGCTGATGAATTCAAGTATGATGTATTTACACGAGGTAAGATAAAACTGAAAAAAACCTTCCCGTCTTACCATCGTGACATCAAGGGACTTTAAGATGCCACGACGGTGACGACAACGAGAACGCCAAAAAAGCAATAGGTTGAATAGGCAAAACACCAACTTTGCACGTGCGTCACGCTTTTTTGTACATTTCTTTGCCGTCACTGCACGACTACGACGGAAAATGCCTAATTTCAAGTTTTATGAGGGACATAAACAAGCGACGGCTAAATTTTCTTTCTCTTTCTGAACTTGAATATGATTCTTAGGAATTCGGCTCAAAAAGAGTTCGCTTGCATTTGACAAAATAAACGAGTTTGAGTAACTGCGATAGAGGTTGAAAGAGCGCAAATTCGCTTTTTAAGCGACGTTTTCGCCGTCGTGGTATCTTAAACTCCGTTGGTGAAGTCCTGATGGGGTCAGCGCAACAACTGAGTCTTACCTCCCTCCAATCGCTCCCCATCCCGACAGCTTTTTCAGCCATCCAAAAATGTAAAACAAAGCAAACAAATTAGGTTCATCAAATTCATAAGGGATACATCATCTTTATTAATTGACTCAAGTTCCGTAACAAGTTCATTTTAATGTTGCCGAACATTTCTCTCGGTAGTTAGAGAAGAACACTCCGTGCTTATGAAGGATTTATAAAACGAAAAGTTTTTCTCTTTTAGTTAAGAGATCGTCAGGTTGAACAGTCTGGGCTACCTCGAGGAAGCAGTTTGACGACAACAGCGGTGAGACATGCACCATCATCATCTGCGACGATTGACGAAGAAAACATCAGTGAAACAGAGGTGTTAAGGTCTGTTTTGTTTAGAAAATCAGTTCCTTTTTATAGCTCACCATAATTCAGGGTTTGTAAAAAAAATTGAAATTCAAGTCACATTTTTCTCGCATGGTGTCATTGAATTTCTTTCTCAGTGTATGATTTAGTTAGAAAATGACTTGCCTGTGATCTGACAGAAAAATCTAGTTTTCCGAGGACGTTTTTTCGAGCCCAACAATAGAGGCACTTCATCCCAGCCTTCCCCCTTCCAGACAAAGAATAAGGCAAAAGATGGCTATGAATCCGCTTTCGATTTTTTTTAACTTGGCAAAAGGTTACATTTTGCTATGCTTATCACAATCCGACAATTAAAAGTAAAGATGAGGACTGACCAACTCGTTCTTGAGTTGTAAGCCCTTGAAGCGTAAGTTAAGGGTGTTTTGAACCAGGTATCCTGTTCCTATAGCAACGTTAACGCAACGCCTTGCGTCAGGTAAATGATTATAACTTGTTAAGTGATGATTTAGTAGTTGTTGAATACCATTTTTATAAAATCAACCCAAAAGAGAGTGGTAATACTGACCTCATCAAAGTAGAAGTGCTTAGAAAGGCAACTAGAAAACCATTTTGAGCCGTACCTCGGCATAACGAACGACATTCTTCAGTCTTGTTAAACACGTGGTTAAATTTATTGAACGGGGTCCCGACCGTTAAAATGAACGTAGTTCTCAGTCCGTTGGTTCTTTGCTGTATGTGGGTTCGGACTAATTATCTAACTTCTTAATAGTTTTGCAGTCCCCGGCTTATTACAACATTGTAAATATTTTTATCTCTTGCAGAGACCACGAGCGAATGGTGTAAACTTGTAAAGATCGGTAGTGAACTTTTAAATGAAACCCTGAGGAAATGTCAAGAGTGAAGAGCGTGGTTTCATAATATACTGGATGTAGTCCAAACCGTAAAAATGGGAACGTTGTGATCATCTTCCGTAAAATGAACTGAAAGTGGTCTTTACTGTTTTCAAAGTTTTAATCACCAATGAACCCATTGTGTGAAGTCTGGTGATAAGTACTATTTGAGGCGGCAAGCAACTCAACAAGTTGCAAAGGGCGTCGCTTTATTCCAACTCAACGTGTCCGTTTATTGAGGATCTAGAACGTTGGCTTCAAAATTTTTGGCTAAGATATCTAATGTATTAAGTAGGTTTTTAAGGGAACGCGTTTGGTAATGTAACTTTTGTCGTATACTTCTATTTTAAAAGAATTAAATTATTCAGGCATGCATATATTTGGATTGTAAAATACAGTGTAATCAGTATATTGAATATAGCACCCATGATTTGTTACAAAATTTGTTTGAACTCAGACAATGAAGGGTTTACATAATGGATTGAGTTAACGCAAAATAAAGCGGTATATTTTCTACAAAAGAGCCCTTTTCGTTGCTAAAACATCGATTTGTAGTAAGTAAATTTTCGCAGAGCACATTTGTAACCTCAGTCGTCACGGGGAACAAAGTTAAGGGAGGAAACCGGAACTGCTAGTGAAGTACGCGTCCCGAGTATCAGCGAGGGGAATGCGGGGTAAACCACCACCGGGGGAGGTGGGAGAGGCAAAACTTTGATGTCACTTCTACAGCATGAACTCCGCTATTTGAAGCGAGGGCCGCAATGTATTTTGCCGTTAGCAGTCATGTTCCATTTAAAGAGTGGTGAAAAGTTGTACCGGGCAGAAGGGTCACCCGACCGCTTGTGCTACCCTTGGTGAACCATGCAACTTTTCATACACTTCCTCAGAAAAAGTGATGAATCGTTTACATGAGAAAAAAAAGTTGGTTCCACTAAAAGGGTGACCCACTCGGCCCAGTCACTCTCCTAGCCAGAAGTTAACATTATCGAAGCACACCCTATGGGTAATTTTTTTAAACAATTTATTCCTTTACTTACTTCCGATAGAAGTGTATTTTCAAGACTAAGCGTTTTACAACTCTTCGTTGATCTATATTATAATATAACAACACTTCATCCTAGCATTTGTATGGGAGCTTGAACTTTTTATATCAAAAATTTGTACATGGCGGTTAAAAAAGTACAAAATCTATGATTATATCTCTATAAGAACTGGACATTGTGAGACGTCTTAATGGAAAGCAAATATTGCTCACGACGAAAACATTTCTACGCTAAGTATTCAAAACAACAGATAAAATAACCGCTTAGAGGCGAGGGCACAAAAAATCATTTTGGGTTGGGAAATACGCCGGCTAAAAATTTCTGAAATTTTAATTCCAACAGTGCAATTTACAGCCATGTAAAAAGGTAAAATAGACTATGAGTAGTCCCCATTTTTCCTCAGAGATAGTAGAGCGAGCGAAACGCGAGCGCGCGTGAAAATCACCCCACGCGAGAAAAGGCGACACGCGGCGTGGGGTGATTTTCACGCGCTCGCGTTTCGCTCGCTCTACTATCCCTGAGGAAAAATGGGGGACTACTCGTAGTCTAAAGGTAAAAAAGTATGTATGTATTTTACTTCACTTCGTTTTCACTGGAATGTTTTTGTCTTTTCTTTCTTTTTTTGGATTAGCGTTTGAATGGTCGAAAGTAGCAGGGAAATCTTTGTACTCTCCGCAGTTTGTTCTAAAGGTTTGTTCTTTCTTCGTTTTACTCAAAAAGAGCATCCGAAAACTGCAACTTAACAATTTGGCACCACCTTATTATAGAAAATTAATGCTCCATGAATTTAAAGCATTGGAAATAAACGCGGTTTAAATTAACGCGAATTTCATGGAAAACGACTATCGAATAAATCTGAAATAAACGCGAAAGAGAGAGTAACATTTCAGAATGAAGGTAATTAACCTACACAACAGGAACAAAGTTAAACTATAATCCGAGATGGAAACTTTGTTCGTGGTACTTTCCTTAAACGTACGAAGAGAGTCAAGCAAATAGATCTGGCTACTTCGAAGATTCTTCACAGTTTCACTGATACTAGCGGATCTCCACCCTGATAAAATACACCTCTTTCTTAGGTGTCAAGAATGTCAGAAGTGTATCGAGAATGTGGGGCCAAAATAATGGAAATTGACGTTTACTAAAATTAACGCGACTCATCATGAAACGTTAATTTCCTATAATAAGGCATTCCGTGAACTTTACTATAGATCTACTAATCCCTTGCTCTCATCGTCTTCGATCTCCAAGTCGAAATACAAGTCGTCCTCGAGCATTTTTAGTCTGGAGTAGCCATAGTCTTCAAATCGAATCTTCGCCCTCTTTCTCATTCGACGGTAACAATAGTTCGCCACAATGAGGGCTGCCCCGATGCAGATGACCATCGCTATACAGATTCCTACTATCAGACTCCCTTTAGAAGACGTCGATGAACTTGCAGGAGATGTTGGAGGTGCAGCTGTTTGCCAATACGATGGACACTGGAAATGTATTTTATATCATGGGTTAAGTAACCTTTTGCGGAAGGTCTTGCATAGTATGTTGTAACAATAATTGAATACTAGCGGAGGGTTGGTGTATACATATATAATATTGCGGAGCCTTCATTTAAGTTTATTCACGTCATTCGACCGTCCCTACGCTCTCGAAATTAAATACCCAATGAGACTTTGGGCTATTAGTTTTTTCACATACGTATCTATAAGCCACCATGTGTAAGATTTGGAGCCTTTATTGTATCATTGTTGTATGAGCATGGTTCAGATTAGCTTGTCTCTAATATTACTAGTTGTTCTCTTGTAATGGTTTGACATTATCAGACTTTCTACGGGTTTGTTGACTTATTATCATGAATTTTGCTTGTAAAGACATAATAAAGAGGGTTGCACACGGCTCGTGTTGACACACCCTAAAGGTGGTTGCTTATTACATGATAACTTTTTAATACTGGTTTGAGCAGGGTAGCAAATAAGGAATTAGTACATAACTGTTCAGTAGTCAAGAACAAAAAACAGCACACGCCCCAGCCTATCTATATTTCCTAGTAGCCATTTTGACTTTGCGCGAGAGAACTGGGTTTGAGTGAAGTCAAATTGCATTATGAGACTGTTTTTGGTGCACTAGCTCGTCTTCTTTTATTGGCTATTGCCTGCTTTCAAACCAAGGAGGGCTGGGTATGAGTCCATGTATTGCGGGATAAACAACAAGAGACCCTTGAGACCCACATGTTCTCTCCCATCTCGCGCCTTCGGTCACGCACGTGGTCATTTTCGTGTCTTACGCGTTTCGCTCAACCGACTAAGGAAAAGGAGAAAGAGACTGCTCGTTATTAGCCTCACCCTGATACTCTGTGAACAGGCAGCAGGTCTTTTCACTTGACATGTCGAGTTACTTTCTTGCACATAAACACCATAACTGCCACTTTGTGGATTGATGCTGCAACGAAGAGTATGCTAAGGTATCAGTACAAGAACCCCGGGGGGCGGGGTGGGGTAAGTCCCTAATAGGCTGATTTAGCAACAGCACGCGAAGGTCATTTGACGACGAGAAAGGGCGCGGAAAGGACTAAACTCGACTTCCGGTGCCCAATTTGTCGCTCTGCCATTGGTCAAGCCAGTTGTTTGATTTGCGCGCCGTCGTCAACTGACGTTACCGTTCTGTTGCTGAATCAGCCTAATATAAGCCACAAGAGTATGTGCTATCCCAAGGAATATGGTTTTGCGCCGTTTCGGTCTGCAAATGGGTATAGACCTTATTGTCTGAAACCGGGTATGGTTTTTTGGGGATCTACAGGAATGTATGAACATTTCTGTCATTTTTATTCCAAATTAATAAGAATTACATAGTAATTTGAGAATTTGAAATGGATTTTAAGGAATCTTTTTGTTGGCATTTTGATGTAAATAATAACGACATAATTTATTTTAAACTATTTCTTAGAGGCCAGGTCTGAGAATGGGTGAGGAAAATGACACTTTTTGGTTTGAAAAAAGTTCAGGATTTGGAGAACTGGGCAGCACAGTCCCCACCAAGAATTCCCAGAGGAACCCCCCCCCCCGGACAAGAACGTATTGGGGTAATAGCTATCTACACTGTAAGCTAACATATTTAAAGCACAATTAAATGGATAACATGACCTGATCCTTTTTCAGACCCTGAAAAAGTTGTTGGCATGCACTTTGGGAGGTTAACCCATTCCCTCCTGGGAATATTGCAAAAATCGCATTTTGAAGATAGTTGAGCTGCTTTCTGGACACTGTCTGGCTATATTTAACCAAAACTACCTAAAACGCTGTTTATAAGTTGAGCAGTTTGTGGCCTTCTGTTCCAGACGCAAAAATATTTCAGTAGAATATTGAGTTCTGGATTTCAGGCATGCCCAGAAAGCATTTCATTCTCTCCTCNTGGGAAAGCTTTTCTAGGGATCTTAGGATTACATTTTTCTTTTCACCATGTCATAATTTTTTTTCCCTTTTCTATGGCATCCTTGACTGAAACATGGTATGGTTTGAAAGATTTCTCCTTCACAAGTTAGATATAAAGCTGTCTTTACCCGTTAAAACTGATGACATCACAATTAGCAAAACAAGGGATGTGGATCCCCAGAGGTGCCTGGTTACAGGCGGTTCAGGGACGAATGGGCTAAAAATGAAGGGTTTTAGGTGGAATTCCTGGGACTGCAACACAACTTGATATCCATTGTTTAATGGGCTGCTTCTGATTACTGTTGGATTGAGCATTATCCAGCTGAGATTTTACTGTATGGCAATATTGCTTTGTAAATAAAACACAAGGGTTACTGACCTGAAACAATCCATGATGCGAGAGACTGAACCAACACAGCATCCAAGCTTGTGATAAAACCGCTGCAAGTCCTAAAGTTTAGAAGTAGAGAAACCCAATATAAATCCTTCCAAATGATTTGAACGGAGTCATCAGTGTATATAATAATTTATTAGTTATATCTCACTGCTAATTTGCTCTTAAAACAGCTGAAATTGAGCAAATAAACAGTTTTTGTCTTTGTCAGAATGATATTTGGCATTCATCTCCTTCCATTTTTCTATGCACAGTTTTTTACAATTGCATAAAACCTACCTTCTGACAATCAGTTGAGCAGTTGTGTCCCACTGAATTCTCTTTGCATTCCTATTAAAGTTAAAGGCTAATTATTCAATAACAAACAAGTTGTTTAAGAAAAAAATATATGGAAAAACATTATCTAAGTTAAAATATATTTTCCAAAAAAAAAGTGAAAAGAGGAATTTGCAAATACCTCAGGATAAGAAGGTTCAAATCAAAATCTTGAATCTAAAAAGTAATTTTCTCAACAGGAAACCAAGAAAAACTCAGCTAATTTAAAAGAATAAGGGCAGATTTTAGAACTGATTCCCAACATACATATATTACTACACCATTTTATTCAAACCTACATGTATTGCAACCAGCATAAATAGCTTTTATTGAGGCCTCTAACGGGGGGTTACATAATATCCCTAGTCTGAATTTTAAAAAACCAATCCTTTCTAAAGAAGGCAGCCCGGCCTAGTGGCCCGCAGGAGCATTGGACTTGCAGTCTGGTAGTCCTGGCCACACGTCCTGCTCTGGTTACTCTGGTTACTCTGGTTACAGCCGTCCCGGGTTCAAATCCTTGGCTACGCTTGTAAATAGCAAACTGGCTGCCTCCTGCCAGTTCGGGTTTTTAATCCTGTTATGTTTTGTTTGAACTATTTGTTTCTAAGTATTTTAGTGGAGTGCCTGTAAACTAGCTGGATAAGCTACGTGGACTTTCTACTATAAACAAACCTTTAAACCCTTTTTTGTGTGTATTGAGGAGGTGGCCATAATGCTGCTGGTATTTTACTATTAATAGTTACATCACATTGCCAAAATAGCAAAATTTCTGGATAACAACAAACTGAAAACATCACTTAAAAAGTGAATTGGCACTGTTTCAAACTTCAACGATCTTATTCAATTTCATTTTTGACAAATTAAAATCTGTCAAATAATGGCAAAATTTTCTGGGGTTAAATCCGAAAGGACTGTTTCTAAGTGTAGGAAAAAAAAGAAAAACTTTGTGTTGTGCTCACCTACTTCATAAAGCGGGTGCATGAAATTAGGAAGTTTCACATTGCAGCCATGCAACGATGGCTTAGAAACGTACAAAAAAGGTGAAGCACATGCAGAGTTGTTGTTTTGCTGATATAAACCTATTTCTTTTTTCCAGTTCTCTTTGCCGTCGCCAGCATCGTTGCTTAAGCTCCCTATTATTGTGATCCAGCAATTTTGCTACCATGGTAATGTGACCTCACACTTCTCCTCTCTACTGTATTTGCAATTACTATTCTTTGTCATTGCAGCGTGCAAAGAAAGTAGTGTCCGATAGCCCGGGGCTAGTGGAGTTTGCTATTGGGCAAGTGAGTTTTGTTCTCGACTTGCCCAACTGGCAAGTGATGTTTTTTGAAAAACTCAAATTACAGAAGAACTGTGAAATCAATTCTGCTCATTAAAGCATTTTTGGGGCTAGTTCAAATGACATTTGGGCTACTAAATGCTACCTTCAGTTTGCCCAAATGGCAAGTTGTAAAACTGACTTTCTTTGCACCCTGCAATGTCACAGCTTCAACCCATCTTCATGTTGTTTGTCAACAGTTCATCTAGTCTTAAGTCACTGTTTCAAGGCCACATCATTTGTCAGAATTTTACCTTAACAGGGCCCCTTTAATTTGCTATTATTTCTTATTGAAACGGTCATAAACTGTACCTTATAATTTGATGTACGGTTCTCAAGTAATCCAGAGATAAACTTTTCTCCACAGGACATTGAATTGTCTTCCTTAATGCACATTGATTTGAGAACTTCCAACACAAACTGAATGTAAGTTCTCTCCCTTTCCTGTAAATTATACAAAAAGAAGGTACAAATATTATCATTTTTTTCTTCAGCATTTTTCACTTTGTTTTGGGAGATGATAAGACCAAAATTTAAAGTCAGCACAAAGCTAACAACTACTAACTAACATGTTAGGCAAGTACAAGTAGAAATTTGGTGGCCCAGTGGCCGGGGGGGTACTTCCATATATGGGCTACATAGGAATGTTCCGCTGTGGAGGGTATGGTTTTCAAGCAATTTACTCTAGGATAGGGTATATAAATCACAGAGTTTGGGTTTAGAATAGGGTATCATTTTCCAGGAAAATTGATCAATTGGTTGTAGATTTTAGTCTAGACTAGGGAAACTGGGAATTGCCACTCAAAAATATTAAAAAAATCAAATCAGCAAGTTTCAATTTACCGGTAAGCAGCTCAGCCTAAAAGCTACTCTAGGATAGGGGGGGATTTGGGGAGTTTAGTCTAGTATAGGGTAGCAAAATTCAGCTGAACTACAACAGCTCTGGTAATACATGGAGCAGATTCAATTTGCAGGTGAAAGTACTGGTATGACTGATGATGTTAGGATTAGGATTTAAGTTACAAAACTCGTAGTCACATCTGCAAATTACTAGAAGGCTGAAAAGGGGGAAGGCCACTCCCACATGAACGTGACACAGATGCCTATCCACTACAGGAAGACTGATCTGGGCATGACTTTTAAAGGGTTTAATTATTTGACTTCTTATAAGGAAACTGTACTAAAACAGATTACCAGAAAAGAGCTATAACAAGTTGATAAGACCTTGACACTGACTGCCGTATGCAGCAGAGTACAATGATATTATTTGGTTTGTTTTATAAGAACAATGACCTTTATGTACAACCCTAAGCGATACTGGTATGGGTAAAAACGTAGGCTTTCTATCTTGAATATCTCAATTTTTCTGCATTTGACTTTGCAATTAGCAGGAAAATATGCTCTCATTGGTATCTTGTGTTTGTTTAGGCATGTACCCTGGTATGTGGGTAGTTAGCATTGGTATATATTTGGGTGTGCAGGTAAGGTATTTCATCTTGGTCTTACTGTCGCAGCGTTCAGATTGCTTGAAGTGAGCTGCACCCTTGGGTTGTGTATGTTTTGTGTTGGTCAAACTGAGATTTAGAGGAGAGTGAATGATACTAAAATCTGCAATTTACACCCGTCATGAGCATCTTTGTCTTTTTCGTATTGGAGTCTCTTACCCCCCACCCACCCACCCACCTACCAGGGCAAATCTGGTGTGGATGCTCAGGAGCTCACACATTCTCTACATGCATAAGTACCATCACGATGAAATTAAACAGGGTCTGAAAGGGTACTGCCATGAGCTGGGATCTGGGCACACTACAGTGCTGGATTCTGGAAAATGTTGACAGGATCGGTTTACCTACAGCGTTCTAAGCCTCTCATTTCATTGGTCCCCTTTAATCTGCACTTCAATTGTTTTCAGGGATAGGGGCATTGTTATGTCACAATCCCTATTGTTTTCCCAGCCAGTCACAAACAATCTTTCAAATGGGTGCAGATCGCCCCAACAGGATAAAGGATTTGACTGCTACTTGGGGAAGGGGGATTCGCCAAAATTTGGGCAGGAAATGTGGATTTGGAAAGAAAACGATTTTTGGGATATCAATGAAAAAAGTTCGGAATGAGGGTTTCTCCAGAGAAAGGAGTGGGAATGGGGGTTCTAAGGCCTCACTTTCCAGACCTTGTTAAATTAAACAGTTAAATTGGTAAATACCAAATAAATAAAATTGGTATAATTACCTTTAAATTCGATTGCCCTGGCTGAATACATCCTTTTGCGAGTGTCTCCAATGACTGAAAGCATTTTTGCGCACACAATTGTTTTTCTTTGCTCTGTACTTCCTCAAGCCATCCTTTGAACTGTTGGTTTGATTTCACAGCATTATAAAAGCAACTATAGCTGCCGCTTGGACAAAGTTTTGAGGGGGCCTGTTCAGGTTTAAAGGTAGTTTCGTTGGCAAAAATTAAATCGCAGTCTTTAAATGCCTCACTGAAGGCTGGGCACTGCCTCAAGTCCACAAACAACTTCGCTAAGATATCATCTTTCAAAATGATTCCATAAGGCTTTACAATAATGCTGAAAATATCCGTGTCTTTCAGCGAAAACAAAGCGAAACTCAAACGGTAGAGGTAAAAGTGCAAAAGCAAGACAGTCAATCTAAAATAATTCATAGCGAAAGTTCAGAAACGGCGCAGATTTACGCCATTTAGTTCGGTCCGAGTCCAGACTTCGATAGTGACTTCGATTTGTTATCGCTTGTGACTTCTACGTGTCAATGACTACCAGTCAGCGGTGATTATCTTTGCTCCAGGCCCTTTTTTCCTTCGCGCGGTAAAGATGGCGGATGAAGTACACACACGGTTTTCACCCACGTAGTATGGAGAATTTTAAAGGAAAGACAGACTTCCAGGTACCTCTCTTTTATTTTTATTACTCTGTTTTAAACATTGGTTACCTCGCCTCAACAATGAAAGATCTCAGAATTGCGCAAACGTGTTGAGCTTCGATTCAAATTTCATCTTTAGCTAGTGTGATATTTATGAAAATGACTTCTAACATATTAGGTATCTGTTTATTCATATTTTTAAGCTTATTTTTATCAGAATAAACTATAGATCAATAAATCCCAATCTTAAAAGACCATGATCATGAGTCATTAAAATTTGCCTCATTTTTCTTAAACTGATGTATCTTGTTGCAGGTTCAAGGAACAAATGATCGTGCCACTCTAAGCAAGTTTTCAACTGTGAAACAAGGCTACTATGAAGATAGATTCATACAGTATTTTGTCTCCAAGACTTCGAGGAGGGCACCAATTATCCATAGGTAATGACATGTAATCCACCGGGTGGGGGGGGGGGGATATGAGACATTTGGCCTCTGCTCACCGTGACGGGGTATAAACTACAGAGTGACAATTTAAAGGTGGAAAAACTTCACGGGTTATCATCAGTTAAAATCCTTGAATGGGGTATTTACAAGTGGGCCATTTCTACTAAAAGATTTGACTGTAAAATCCTTCACAAACAGGGGTCCAAGTTTAGAGACTCGGGCAAAACATACCTGTTAGAGGTCAAAATTCAATTCAGGTTTAAATTTTTTAAGCTTGGTTGATTCTCAATTTCCTTTGTCTCCTAGCCCTAATTCATGAATAATCAGGGCTAAGAAACAAAGGAAATTGAGAATCAACCTAGGTTTTACACTTTTGGCCTGTAGATTGGCCTGTAACATTTTTATATACCCACTCAAAATCTGCCCCAAGTATCTACATAATTATGGAGAAGTGTAAAGTTCTACATGGGATCCTAGGAATTG